TCCCTCTGACCACGACACGCAGCAGGGGTGTGGCAGCCTGGCCTTCTGAGCCCATTTCTGCAGAACTGAATGATTAGGAGCCGGAACGCCCAGGCTACTCAACTTCCTTGTTCCCCTCCCTGCATACTGAACCTCTCTGCCTTAATTTCTTCCTGAGGCTGTTGTAAGGATTAGATGATTAAGCGCAACACACACAAAACAGCACTGAACAGTCCCTGGTACAGAGCAAGCGATCATTATCGAGGCTGGAGTCACCCGCTGTACTTCCTGGTACGGCCACATCACAGGTTCCCGGGAGCCAGTCTGGACAGCTGGTGTTTAGGGAGGCTGTGGGAAAAGAAACTACGGCAGAGGGGCCACAGCCATGGGCAGGGCGGAGTGAAGGTGTCTCAAGGGCTTTGGGAGTGGGGCCAAGCAACAGGAGGCGAGGCAGGGAAGCCTGGGAAAAGCCTTCTCTCTCCTTTCCACCAAGAAGTAGAGAAAACCTGGTTCTCCAGGAGGTGGGGAGCCAGGCTGGGAGTCACAGCGCTGCCGCTGCCGCTGCCTGGAGCGAACTCAAGCTGGGGAGCCCAGGGCAGGCCCGGCCCTCTTTTCGAATGCCTAACTGCCTCACTCCCCTTCTGAAACAGACCGGAACACACTGGAGCAATGCTCTCTGGCCGGGGCAGACAAAAGCAGCCTGAAGGGAAATCCTGTTCACGTGCTGTGCCCCAGTGCAGGAAAGCGCCCCATTTGGGATCAGAGGCAGGGGCGGGGGAGAAGTGTGGGCCGGAGAGCAATGCTCAGAAGCAGCCAGAGCCTTCCTCTCACAATTTCAGGGGCAGGGCCACCACACGGCACAGTCCCGGCTGCTCCACTTCCAATCCAGCTCCCTGCTAACGCTCCTGGGAAAGCAGCAGAGGGTGGCCCAAGTGCCTGGGCTTCTGTACTCACATGGAAGACCCTGGAGGAGTCCTGGGCTCCTGGCTTTAAAGCCTGGCACAGCCCCAGCTTTTGTGGGCATTTGGGGAATGAACAACAGATGTAAAATTTCTCTTTCCCTGTTACTCTTAAAAAAAAAAAAAAAAAAACTTGCAAAAACAACAACAAAAATACCCAACCTCAGGAATGTAGTTTCCAAAGCAAAAGCAAAAAGCCTAAGTTGCAGAAACAATGGCATGTGTTCAAGCACTCCTTCCAACGTCGTCTTCAGGATTGTTGGAAATGGCGAACAGGTTGGACACCTGTGCTGCTTGCTCCTGCAGGGGATTTCCACAAAACCCTCTACGGTAAAACCATCCTGTTCCCTTCCCAAAACAATTGTTCCACCCCTTAGAAGGAAGTGTGCCCTAAAGATCCCACATTTCCTAAATCTGATTCTAGGCTTTACAAGCTAGAGCAGCAACTGGTGCCGACACAAAGAAACAGGGAGCCAAGCAACTCTGCTTCTAAAAACAAAGTTTATTTTAAGTTAAGAGGAACAGATGTCCCAGTGTTTCAAAAAGCCACACGTTTGTGGATTTGGCTGACAAACCCTCTACACTGCTTTCTGTTCCCATAGAGTCACCGGGCCGCTTCAACTGACTCACTCCCTGTGGGCCACAGTTGGGGTCAGACTATTGACTACAGAATTAGAATCACAGGTCTCAAATAAACCCAGGGTCTTTGGGTGGGAAGCTAGGGTCATCTAAAACAATCTTGCCCTACCTCCATCCTATTTAACTGGCAGTATGAAAAGCCACCCAGCAAACTGTGAGGCTAGTGGGTCAAAGAGCAGGCAGGAACAAACAGTTGGCCTTGGCCTATCTCAATGCCATGCAATTTTCAAGGCAATGAGTAAGCAGCTGTATAGAACAGGTTTCTGTATAATCCTTCGGAGTACTAGTTAAATATGCAAATACATGTAGGTTGTTTGCTGCAATTCAAGGCCTCACCCCTCAAGGCAAACACATTACCCCAGGTGAACTCTTGGCCTTGGTGGGGAGGGGGGGCCAGGAGCCCCAGCCTGCCTGCCTCTTCACTAAAGCTGACTTACACTACGTGCTCTTTCCTGCTTGCCTCAGGATAAAGGAGCAGCAGCTCTCTGGCTTTGTGTAGTATTTCATTTACCATCTTTTGTGAATTTTTGAGCCACATTAGAGAAGGAACGTTGCTCAGTTTTCAAAAACTGCTTTTAAACTCCTGCTTAGGGTCTTTTAAATTTTCCGTAGCACACTAAAAATAACAAATTATTTGTGAGTAAAAACAATCTGATATTTTGTGTTTATAACAGGAAGGAGACTTTCAGGTCTACTGAGGAAGCTCTCGCATGCCATAAGTCTACTGTCTCATGGCTTAACACCTATTTAACTCAGCAAATCTCACTGGATAGTCTAGACTGAGCTTTTTAAAACAAGCTATTAAAAAGCTACCTTTAAAATTTTTAGTAATAGCATGCTTTTCTTAGCATTAAAAGATCTGTAGTTGTGGCCGGCACCGCGGCTCACTAGGCTAATCCTCCGCCTTGCGGCACCGGCACACCGGGTTCTAGTCCCGGTCGGGGCGCCGGATTCTGTCCCGGTTGCCCCTCTTCCAGGCCAGCTCTCTGCTGTGGCCAGGGAGTGCAGTGGAGGATGGCCCAGGTACTTGGGCCCTGCACCCCATGGAAGACCAGGATAAGTACCTGGCTCCTGCCATCAGATCAGCGCGGTGCGCCGGCCGCGGCAGCCATTGGAGGGTGAACCAACGGCAAAGGAAGACCTTTCTCTCTGTCTCTCTCTCTCTCACCGTCCACTCTGCCTGTCAAAAAAAAAAAAAAAAAAAAAAAATCTGTAGTTGGCATCTAGTAATTGCTCATATTTATAGGGTACTTTGTGATATTTCAAAATACATATTTATAACAAAATTAGAAAATGTAATTTTAATGTTAAGTTAGGAAATCATTTTTATTATTTTAAAAATAATTTTAAAAAATTTATTTGAAAGGCCAAGAGAGAGAGATCTTCCATCCTTCCATCTGCTGCTTCACTCCCTAAATGCCTGCAATAGCTGGGGCTGGGCTAGACAAAGCCAGGAACCAGGAAGTTAATCAGGGTCTCCTCACATGGGTGGCAGGCACCCAACAACCCGAGCCAATATCTGCTGCTTCCTTGCAAGCTGGAATCTCTGGAGTGGAGCAGGACTGGAACACAGACACTCCTGTGTGGGATGGGAGTGTCCCAAGTGGCATCTTAACTGCCAGGCCCACTGCCTGCTTCAGGAAATTAGTTATTTCATGCTAAATGTTGTATATTTATGCTTTCACATTGTCTTGGGTAGGCTACTGGGGGCTTACTCTTAATTTAAATTAAGCCATTAATTTGTTTAATTTGGATTATTAAAAAACTTCAGTAAATGCTCTTCTCCATTTACTCCAAAAGCCCAAAAGAGTATTCACTCTAAAGCAAGAGTACATAGTAGGGTACTTGAAAAACTCAAGGGAAAATGGAATAGAGGGTAACTTTGTTTTGGTGCAAAAAAATGTGAAGGCTATACATATGAGGGCTTGAAAAGGTAATGGAAAATGCATATGGTGAAAAAAAAAACTACAGATGAATTTCAGAATGTTTTTCTACCAACATAAGCTTATCACTTAATTCCATTTTTCTATGAACTTTTTGAAGTGCTCTCATACGCTGAGAACATTTAAAAACATTTTTCTTTCTGCAGTAGTGAATATAATGTTGTGAAAACTTTGCATGTTTATCAGAAACTCAATCCCTGATGAGTCAAAAATTGAGAATATACTAACAGTTCATGTCGGGTGATTTATTTCTTAGACAACTTGTCCACGTATCTGATTTTATACTTAAAAGAAATCTAGGCTCAGAGCCAAAAGTATTCTCAGGTTACACACAAATAGAAGAGGTGGAAGAAACCTGACATTAACAGACTATTGCACAGAGGCAAATGTGTTTCAAAATCCAAGTATGAAGAGCCTCTCTGACACTAAAAGGTTGGCAATGCCTCTGAGCCCCTTAGACATGGGCCAGTCTAAACACAGTTCACATCAGGGTACAGGAGGGTGGCTGGTTATTTCATTCAGCCGAATGCATTATCTGTACTCACTGAGAGGCAGGCAGCTGAATGGGAAAACAGAGAGGCCTAGTGCTGTCCAGAGCGCACTGGGGATAAAGGCTGAGCTTGTGTGGGAGCACTCACTGCGGGATACACTTTGGTAGCTATACTTCCATGAGTCTATTTAAGAAACTGTATTTCAGCCTTCCCTTTTTGTGGATTATTAACACAATGAGACCAGGTGGCCTTCATACAAATGAAAGCAAACATCTCCCTTTTTATGCAATGTATACAGAATATATACAACTATGGGAAAACCGGAGACTGCACTCATCCCCTTGTTACATTCTCTAGTGAGAGGGGCTGCTTCTCAGTGTTTATGTGCGTATACTGTGATGTACTTATGCAACTGGCTGACAGTCACTGTAGGTGTGTAAGTGATCAAGGTTTACACACAGTGGGTCCCTAATGACAGGAATTCCCAAGTCCTCTTGTTATTTACAGTAACACCAAACTATTCACTTGCAAATTTTCTGCTCTCTGGAAACAGCTAGGTATACCTTTGGAATCATGTAGTTGTGTCTACTTTGGGAGATTCAAGAGAGCAACAGACAAGACAAATCACAGGAAGAGAAGGGTATCACACTGCTGCGGGATCTGAGCAAGCCAAGCCTGAACATTTACTGGAGGGAAGGAGGAGAGCTCATCCTCATTTCTTTTCAAAGAAATTCACTTGAAAGACAGTATATAAATCAAATGTATTCATCACAAAGTCTGTGAGCCCATAACAAAGTTGTTTCTTTTTCTAATATACTGTTCTAAAACAAATTTATTAACAAACCCTAAAGATTTAGTACAATTCTCGTTTGCTTTCCTCTTTCCTTTTTTTAGACAAACACCAAATAAGATGCAGGTGAAGGAGATGAAACGCAACTGGAAGCTGACATAGGAACTTACACCAACCCCAAAGAATCTAAAAAATGATCTTGGTTAATGTGAATCTATTTAAAATAGAGCAAATGGGTACTACTCAAGTATGGAAAAGTAACAGTCATACTGCTAGAAAGTCCCTGGAGAAAAAAAACAAACATTGTTAGGGAAGTTAATAACCTTTTGAAAAACCAACAAGGCAGGTCACTTGTCCTTTATTTGGTTGTGATCATGGAGACTATCCAAATTTTCCATATAATCTTCTCTTGATACTGCTACAATACCATGGCATAAAGAACTCAAACTGCCATTAGACATAAGGACCAGAGGTTTTGTTCGTAAACCATGAAGCTGGGTAATGTTTGAATGAGAACATTGGATATGGATGGTCAGATGAAAGATACCAAAATGTCAGACAGCCCATCGACTGCTGTTGCCATGAGATTCAACAGTCAACATCAGTCTGATAAGCTATCCGACAAAGTGGTACAGCCATGGAGATGTCACGACGGTAGCAAAACAAGCAGACATTCAGGCAGGATTTGGTAAAATAAATCAAGCATTTGTGGCCTGTTGAGATTTAACACCAATTCTATCCTATTTTGACACAATGTCAATATCAATTTTCCTAAAAGAAAGAGGTGAAACTGTTTATTTTCCTCCCAAAGCAAACTGAATAAATTCGATTAGAAACATCCCAAAGGGGAAAAAGAGCCCCATGTAAAACACTTAAGAGAAAAGTAAATTGGGTCATGTAAAAGAGTGAATTTCTGTTAAACCAGAGTACATGCTAGCTAAAATTAACATGAGTGACAAAGTGCCACCCCACTGATAAATAAATTAAAAAAAAAAAAAAGGATTTTCTCTCTCCCAGGTCCTTTGCTATCACCCCTCCTCTCCTATTTTCACAAACCAAGCAATCCCCAGGCTAAGCCAGCCCTAAAGGTGCCATTTATCAAAGGGAGCTGCCCAGTTCCAGTAAGACAAAGAGGCCTTGGTGGTGGCTCTTTCAAGCAAACAAATGAAGGCTTAAGAAATGCTGGTTGTAGGTGGATTTGGTAAGCTGCCACACACTTGGGTATTAGCTAAAAAAAAAAAAAAAAAATTAAAATGCTCTCAAGAAAACGGACACAATTCTGGAATGATCAAAGATGTCTTTATAAAGTGTTTTCATGACTTCATTCTAAATATACAGAATAAAAAATGGTGTCAGTTCATTCTTGAGACACCAACCAGATTTTCCTTATACTGTCTCAAAATTTAAAGATCAGTTTCCCCAGAGGGTGTGCAATGCATCATAAAATGGCCCTATTTTGAGGGTGGGAGAGGAAGGGTTGGGCAGGATGGCATATTAAATTGTACCATGATAGACATGCAAGACTGTTATCCAATCTAGACAATTTATATACATTTTGATGACTTAGAAAAACAAAGCAATCATTTGTGACAAGCCTAAAAAGCTTGACATATTTAACAGACTTAGGAACTTTTTTGTATGTGGTGGGAATTCTCTAATTGTCCCACTTGGGCCTTTTGAAGGTAAGGAACAGCAGGCCAGTTTCTGTTAAGTTAGTGGCTGAACATCACATTCCACCCGGATAAAACACAACATGGACTGAACTGAGGGTGGATATCTTACCTTAACAAACAAAGGACAAGTATGCCAGTGCAAAATATGGGCTAAACTGCTTTCAGGAATTAAGTTTTTAAACTGATACAGGTTGGAAAAGGGAATTTTCCTTCCTGGCTAGGATCCTTCCCACTTTAAGGCAGAACCCATCCATTCTGATTTCTGCAGTTAAGAACCTTTCTCTGCTTATTTAGTTTTCTCCTCTGAGTTCAACCGTTGCTGAATTCGTTTGGCATAACTTTGTGCCATGGAATTAATGATAGACAGGATGAAGTAACACACCATCACAACGACCAACTTCTCAAACATCCAGGACAACCAGTTTTCTCCCTGTAGGAAGAAATGCACAACAACCCAAAGAGAAAGGCTTCGTTAGTTGAACAGTAAAAAGAGAATGACCCATAGTGTTTTAAGAAAAAGAATGAGAACTGGAGGCTACCCTGAAATCTACATGTTACGCTCAGTCTCTCAAGACTCCCCTTTGTTGGATGCAAAGGCAGTGTTGATTCATATAGTTCGGAATGACTGGGCAAATGTTGAGTTCATCTCTCATCTTTTCACTGTGACCTAAGAATTAAATCCCTGATTAAACTCGTTTCTGAAGCAGTCAGGCACTCTCCAATTATTGTCAAGAGAGCTAGACATTTTCCATCTCCCAGTTCCCATCCCGGGAACTGTCTTTAAAATATAAATGCTTCTATTTTCTAAAGTCACATTTGGACAACGGAGGGCAGCAAAGGACCACACGAAGCATGTGTCCTCGAGGCCATTAAAGAAAAGCTTCCCACTTCAGGTTACTGCTTACTCATCCTGTTCTAGTCACTTCCCCTTGCCAGAGGGCTGTTTACAGAGAAGGCAGGCTCAGTTTAAGTTTTAAAGTTCAGCAATGTTAAGAGTCTTAGTGTATAAAGAAAGTATCATTTTCCCACAGCTGAAAAGAAAAATAGTGAAAATACCAAAGTGGGACATTCAAGCTATCGCACTAAGCCTAATATTTCTGTTATGAGGAAAATTAAAATGGTTTTAATCTACTCAGGAGAGCCTACTAATAAATCATTTAAGATCAAGGCAGCAACTCCTTCACTCTACGTTGCAGAGCCATTACTTTTCATTAGCCCTACCCTTGTTGCTGGGAGAAGATGTACAAAACAGAAAAGTTATACTACAGGTTTCAGACAAAGACAAATTTCCTAGGAGAGACCACACAGAGCCTCAACCTCTGTTAGGAAACTGGCGAACGAACCCCAATCTATACACCGAAATTGGAGTGCGCGAGCTGCCTGAGGGGAGAGGAGGCTCACCTGTGCTGTGCCCAGTTCACTTCTGTGGTGAAGCTTCTGCCGCTGCGCCTCCAGGTAGTCCTGGAATGGCTTCTGCAGAGACGGACCTATGCCGGGGACAGCACTGGAAGCAGGGCACGGCAGCCCACGGCAGAAGATAACATTTGGGAAGAAAAGTAGAAAAACGTTAAAGAAAATCCACTTACCGTCTGGTTTCAAAAATAACAAAATAGGTAGGAAGAAGAATAAAATAACAATCAGAGAGCTGTCGAGATCCTGGGAACTCTTGTTAGTGGACATAAATTCTTCCTTCTAACAGCCCCTTCCAGGAGAAAAATCTCTCCCACCAACAAGTCTGGGATAAACTCAGAGCTGCAAACCAGGAGCTACTTCTAACAAGAGTGAGGCCGGCGCAGCTGACGCTGCACACTGGGGTGGCACAAAGAAGAAAATGAATGACTTCTGAGAAGTCCCACATTTATCACCACCAGTTCCTGTAAGAACTGGTTTGAACCGATTAATAAGGAAATGACTTATGCTTGTGTCATCCCTAGTTAAAAAAGAAACTGCCCGCCCTCTCCCTGACTTGTCCCATCTTCTCAGAGGGGGCGGTTCTTTCTCAATCTAAGTCCTTATTAGGACAATCCGTGCGTCATCCTTATCCAAAAAGAATGCATTAGCGAATTTGGGAGGCACCTCCCCCTAGTCAGAAGTCAGTGATTAACAAAGGAACAAAGAAGGAACTCTGAACCTTGAATCATTTCATGGTTTATGGCAGATGATTTGCACAGAATCTCCAGTACATTACTAAACAGCTTGTTCTGAGCTGATTGGGACAGTGATCTTTGATAAGTTTGTGTATTGAGAGCTCCCTCTCACCCAGAATGCCTGGAGGGAGGGCTGTTAAACCGGTTTGGCCACTGCAGCTCCCAGGCTCCCGTTTTAGACTGCAGGGGTTTTTACAATAGTAACTTAGGGCAACTTAGAAAATCAAACACCTCTATTTTCTGTACCCTTTATTTTCTCTTCTGTCACACTTCAGATGAAAGGCAAACAAACCCAATCTCTTTTCCTAGAGCTTGCAAAAGGTACTCCATTATGAATTTGTAGCAGTGCTTAATGCTCTTCCTGCTGAGTGTACAAAGTAACTTCACCTCTTCTCTCCATTTATTCAGTTGCTGCTTTTTGTAATAAATTAGAGACCAGCAGAAGGGAGGTTTTTTTTTCTATTACATTTATCAGAAGCCAATACAGCCCTAAATCCTGGCTAATACTTTTCTTTGATCCTATGAATTTACCAACCAGTAAACACTGAATGGAGTAATAGATGCAATGGGGGACTGGCGGTGGGGGGAAACTGGAAGAACTGGTCCGTGCCCACCAGGAACTTAGAAGAAGATCATTATGGGGATTTAACACATGCACATAGGAACTGAGTTATGAGTAAGATAAATTAACAATTCAATCCTAAATCATTTGGTACAGAAGATATAAGCTGAAAGTACTGGAGGAAAAGAGATCAGTGTAGGGTGAAGTGAACTGAAGGATGTGCAAAAAGGCCCAAGCAGACCAACACCTGCACTGAGCAGACCAGAAGACCTAAGACAGTCATCAGACAGAAGCGGTGAAGTCTCAGCCCGCGGGCTCCGGCTCTCACGCACAGACTTGCCGGGGGCCTTTCATGAGTAAGGTCGACCAGAAGTGCTGTGTCTGAGCTGTGTTGCTCTTTAGCAGCAATGATTCTAACTACAAAGGGGCAACAGGACAAATTTTTTCTTTAGAGGAGAAAAAAAGTACTTCAAGTAATATTTCCATATATACTACAGGTAGGAATGCAAATAGCTCACCCATTCACACTAGAAATATGTGATATGAAGATAAAAAACAATTCCAGTAAAATACACACACTGAATGACTGGTTTTAAAATAGCAGATTTATAAGAACTTTCATTTTCATAAATTGCTTCATTGACCTTAATAACAACACGCTAAAGGATAGCTACAGTTAAACTATCATTTTAGAGAAAATTAAGGACCAAAACCTAAATGTTAGAAAGATTCTGATTTTTTATTGCTGTTGAGAGGAAAGAAGAAGGGACTGGCAATCATTATAGATTTACTTTATTTTTTAAGATTTATTTATTTATTTGAAAGTCAGAGTTACAGAGAGAGAGGAGAAGGAGAGAGAGAGAGAAAGAGAAAGAGGGGGGGGATCTCCCATCCGATGGTTCACTCCCCAATTGGCCCCAACTGCTGGAGCTGTGCCAACCCAAAGCCAGGAGCCAGGAGCTTCTTCCGAGTCTCCCATGCGGGTGCAGGGGCCCAAGGACTTGGGCCATCCTCTACTGCTTTCCCAGGCCATAGCAGAGAGCTGAATCAGAAGTGGAGCAGCCAAGTCTTGAACCTGCGCTCATATGGGATGCCGGCGCTTCAGGCCAGGGTGTTAGCCTGCTGCACCACAGCGCCAGCACCCTAGATTTACTTTAAATATAATGATTTGCCATTATAAATTGATTCAGAGATATACTTCAGCTGATTAAGTACACATCATTATACATTTGTATGAAATGCAACTTTCAAAGAAGTATCAGGCTAACGATGAGATTAAGTTACCAAGGTGTTGTGGGTCACATGTCTTGGGGGGTTTCTGTTGGTGGGGGATGTCTCTATGTAGATTCCCATTAAAGACCAGGAAAACATTTGAAAATAGAGATGCTAAAAGTCGTTACAGCACTCTATTTACAAAAAGTACCATGGTCAAATACCACATGATCCTAGAAGTTAACACACTTGAAATGTATATATTATGCATTAGAGAAATACTTATTTGTCAGATCCTCTTAATCTTTTACTATATATTCATCGCAATTTTACTTCTATTTTCATTTTTCTGCCTCTACCAAAAAGGGCTTAGGCTACTGATGCTTCAGCTCACACAAAGCAATTTCCACTAGAGGTTTCTTAATGACCACTAAAGTTATTTTAGTGACAGGCAAAAAAAAAAAAAAAAAAAATTTAAAAAACAAACAAACAAACAAACAAACAAAAAACTGGGAGTACAGCTGTCATTCCTAACATGGATTTAAGGCAAAAAATACCAGCTCACAACCTCATCTCTCATGTAATTTTCAAGTAGCAGACCGGAAGCAAGAGTCCATTCTGATATTCTAAATTAACAAAAGGTAGGAACCTGGGAGGAGAGATTACTTGCATCACAGTTCAATGGATTTTTTTTTTTTTTTTTGACAGGCAGAGTGGACAGTGAGAGAGAGAGACAGAGAGAAAGGTCTTCCTTTTGCCGTTGGTTCACCCTCCAATGGCCGCTGTGGCCGGCCACCGCGCTGATCTGAAGGTAGGAGCCGGGTGCTTCTCCTGGTCTCCCATGGGGTGCAGGACCCAAGCACTTGGCCATCCTCCACTGCACTCCCTGGCCACAGCAGAGAGCTGGCCTGGAAGAGGGGCAACCGGGACAGAATTCGGCGCCCTGACCGGGACTAGAACCCGGTGTGCCGGCGCCGGGAGGATCAGCCTATTGAGCTGCGGGGCCGGCCCGTTCAATGGCTTTTAATAGCTGGCTTAGGAAACAGCCTCAGTGCCATCCTGGGGAAGCTATCACATTCACAGCTACTCTGAGCACCTGGTTAAGAACACTCATCTCAGTCCTCAGTGAGTGGGTGAAGTCTTCCACCTGCTATTAGGCTCTGAGGAAGTTAAAAGAACTATAGTTTTGGGGCCAGTGGTGTGGCGTAACAGGTAAGGTCGCCACCTGCAGTGCTGGCATACCATATGGATGCCAGTTCAAGTCCTGGCTGCTCCAATTCTGATCCAGCTCTCTGCTATGGCCTGGGAAAGCAGAAGATGGCCCAAGTCCTTGGGCTCCTGCATCCATACAGGAGACCCAGAAGAAGCTCCTGGCTTTGGATCAACACAGTTCTGGCCGTTGTGGCCAATTAGGAAGTGAACCAGCAGATGGATGACCTCTCTCTCCACATCTCTTTCTCTCTCTCTTTCAAATAAATAAATAAATATTAATAAAAAAAAATAAGAGTGTGACCTCAATCAGTACAAAAAAAAAAACTACAGTTTTGTGATACAGAGCATAAAGGAGGTAAATAAACACAGAGAGGGCCATTTTTTTTCAGTAAAACTCTTGGGCTAAAAAGATAAACCAAGCTTATAAATAGTCACTTGCTCTAAGTAAGAATGCCTTTTTTAAAAAAAGAGAGAGAGCGAGAGAAAGAAAGGAGAAAAGAGAAAAGTTGACCTCATCTGTTTTTCCTTGCTGTGTGGACCTTCACTGTGGTGGGCAGAAAAACCTCTGTGGGTGGTGGTATCTTCATATTTTTAGTCTGGCACAAATAGCAGATTAATATCAAAAATTAAATGTCCAACAAATTATTCTAATGGCAATAATTGCACTTCTGCTACTAATTTAACAAGGAGTGGGAAGGACTCCTCAGATATGCAAATAAAAGATTAAAAGAAAAAAAAAACCCACAAAACTCCAAACCTACTCAGGACTCAAAACTGGTTTTATGGGAAAACTTCTTTCGTGGGAAAACTTTTTTCCTATCTACATACCCATATTATCTGTTACTCTGCTTTTGGACACGACTTACCTGACAAGAAATCTGTACTTAGATTTTCAACTTTTTTTTTAAACTAGTAGCCTTTTTTTTTTTTTTTTTTTAATTTATTTGACAGGTAGAGTTATACACAGTGAGAGAGAGACAGAGAGAAAGGTCTTCCTTTCTGTTGGTTCATTCCCCAAATGGTCGCTACGGCCTGCGCTGCGCGGATCTAAAGCCAGGAGCCAGGTCCTTCTTCCTGGTCTCCCATGTGGGTGCAGGGCCCAAGCACTTGGGCCATAGGTGAGAGCTGGACTGGAAGAGGAGCAACCCAGACTAGAACCTGGCGCCTATATGGGATGCCGGTGCCGCAGGCGGAGGATTAACCAAGTGAGTCATGGCGCCGGGCCCCTAGATCAACTCTTTCCATATTTCCTCATTATAAAGGCCTACATTATTCCCTCTACCGACAAACACCAGAAATCTTCCCGAGGAAGCATCACAATTGGCAGAGGTTGTATCTAGTGGGTGGAGTGATTCCTCTTGGTTTTCACAA